ACAAGGGATCTCTAACCTTTGAACCGTTTGAGGGAGAATACTCTATGATATGATTAAGAATCTCTGGCCAGAGTATGAATAAGATTTAGGAAATCGTTCCAAATCACATTCAAGGTAATCATATAAGTAAGAGAATCACATTGGATAGTAGACATGAATAAACTATCAAACCAAACAATGTGGTCAAGAGTATTGTATTAGAGAAAAATCGTATTGCGTTGTAATCCTAAACTGAATAGGTTCTCCACCTCTTCTGATTAGCTTGGGTAACCATGACATACTGCTAGGTGTCACTCATCGTTTGTGGAAGCCGTAAACATGTATAATCACTAAAGGGAGAATTGAAAGTAAGTTTCAATTCACAATCAATTTGAAAGAGTTCTAATCGCCCACTGCCTCGCTAAAAGGAACCTAATGGATCGTACACCGTGTAAGGTAGAGATTGAAGAAACAACAGAGATGAGTAAGGATAATTAAATGGTTCAATTATTTATGGCAATGATTAATTAATATGTTAATTAATCAAACGAATAAAGTTAGTTTTGGGCCTCAAGGCCCAATGGGCTTCGAACTTCAAGCCCATTGACTTAAGTTGTATGACAACTTAATGAATAATAATTCACAAAGGCCCAAACAGCCCAATAAAACCCTATGGCCGGCCATATTGATAAAGGAGTGGGTTTTGGACTTATTATAAGTTTGCCACTCCAATGAAGGTAGGTATAAATGTGACTTTATAGCCTTTTCTTCATTAGGGTTTCTTTTGGAGAAAAGATGAGAACACGATGTCTCTCCCTTTCTCTCTAGGAGGCCGGCCCCCTTGGAGGAGATTAGCTAGCAATCTTCCCTCCTCCAAGGTCACTCATCTCTTCTTCAAGTCTCTCCTTGGTGTGGAAAAATTAGAGGTTCTCAACTTTGTGAACTTGGAGAATCCTTTCAACCATCCTCATCCAAGAAATCCATTGAGCTAAGAAGCAAGGAATGAAGGCCCTATCCTTGGGTGATTAGCCTTTGCTTATGCAAAGAGGAATCAACAAAGGTATAAGATTTCTCAACTCACTTTGTTCTTGAGTTGAGTCTTGGTTCACCTTTCTACTAGGCTTTGAATTTCATGGGTAATGTTTGTTTTTTAGTGCATACAAGCATGATTCCACCTTTAATTGTTAATTGCATGTCATAGATGTTGCTCAAATGAACATGTTTTTCGCAAAATTTCCTTCACAGGGTTCTAGTCTAATTTATGAAAATGAGTAAGAGTAGGGATTCCGGACCACTCAACAGAATCCAACCAAAATATGATCATTTATCAAAATGTACCAAGTACAGTTAATTCTCATCACCTCTAGAACCTCATCACAGATATACCAAGCAGAACCATAGGCATAATCTCATCGTGAAGGCAATGATCACCCAATGCGGATATACCAAGTATGATAACCCCTGAATACGTATAGTCCCCCAATGCAGATATACCAAGCAGGACCACATCCTAACTCTAGGTAGTGATCACCCAACATGGATATACCAAGCATGATCACTCCTAGAATGCGTATGGTTCTCCAACGCGGATATACCAAGCAGAACCATATGCATAATCTATAACATAGGCAATGATCACTCAACGCGGATATACCAAGCATGATCACTGCTAGCAGTCCCCTAACATGGATATACCAAGCATGACTATATCATATAGCTCTAGGTAGTGATCACCCAACGCGGATATACCTGATAGGAGCATATTTATGCGACCTAGTTAGCTTGTTTTCAGTTCCTAGTTATTTTAGCATTTTAAGCTATTTTCGTGTGTTTGTAGTTCCAACAGGCTAAAGTAGCAAGAAAGTGCAATTTGGTGCATTTTAGAGCAGTTTTGGGCTTGGAATGGATAGCACATGCTTGGAGCAAGGTGGATGGACGAATTTGAAGTTCAAATGAGGCTAGGTATGAGCAAAGAAATGAAGAAAATAAATTCAAGACAAAAGAAATCAAGGAATCCCGCAAGAAAGAATGAATGTTAACCAGGTTACCATATTTTGTCCTAATCCTACACCACCTAATTTCCATCTGCAAAGAGGATCCTTAATTATTCTAGGACACTTAAATAATGATTCTAGAAGACCTAAACCCATTCCTATAAGGTTCCGCACCTTTCCTCTTTTCCCTTTCCCCTTGCCGCATATCTTTTTCCCCTTTTCCTAAAGGACTGCCGCACCCTTCTTACCATTTTCCTCTTGGATTTTGACATTGAATTACCCTTTTTCTTTGAGGATTTGGTTTACAAATCTGTCTCCAAAATTAATTAGGGTTTTCACTCTCTTTTCCTATATATTATATGCCTTGCCTCACCTAAGGGGGATCCATCACCCATTCACCATACATAAAAGCCTATTTTTAGAACCATACACCCTTGTGCCGCAATTTTACAAGGAAGAAGAGGATAGCTTGGAGCCGTGCCTGTCATTCAAGATTGTTGGATTGCTGGAACGTTTTTAGGTGTAATCTATCTTTTGTTTCCAATGTTTAATTTAAGTTATCTTTGTTTAATTGTGAATATGAGGAGCTAAACTCGTTTTACCTAGAGGAAAATTCAAAGCCATGAACATATTTGCAATATGAATTTATTACTTCCAGTTGTGATTTCATAAATCGTGAATGCAATTTACTTAACTGTTTGATTCAAAACTTATTCTTGTTTGTTGATTAAGGATGCATACTTAGTTTGCATGCATGAATTTGATGCTAGAATATAAGGGAGTTTCACCTAATTGTTATGAACTTATATTCATAAGTATTGGAGGTTGCTAGTCACAATCGTGTTAGGTAAATTCCTGGCAGGAGTATCATGTTGTTCATAGTTACGAATGTCTTGTCAATGCTTATGATTTTCACAAAGTTTAATGATATTTGATTGTATCTCTATTATGCTGCTCATGTAGGGAACTATTGAAGAATAATTTGGTTGCCGATGCATTATCCATCCAATTCAATGACTTAAGGAAAATCTGAGGGTTAATTAGTGCTGTTCACGGTTAATCTGGGGCGTTGAGGTTCATGGTTTATTGGAAAAGCAACTGGAAATCGTTTTGTATACAAGTGTGTCATGTGTGGAGAAGGACCCTCTAGTTAGCCACTCACCCATAATTTCCCCCAATTTCGTGCCAAACTTGTTTAAGTCTTTAATCTACTTGTCTTTACTTTAAATTCTTCAAAAACCCAATCCCCTTTACTTTGTTGTGTCAAATTAGTTAGAATTTGTCCAAACTTGTTTTTTTAAGTGTTTTGAGTCAAGTTAAAATCAATTTTTGTTCAAATCACCCTTTAGTGTCTAGTTTGAGTCTATTTGATTATTTTGTGCTGTTTTAGTTTGTTTCGAGTTCTTTGAGTCTAGTTAGTGTTTTCAAGCCTAGTTTTGTGTTTTTGAGTTAGTTTTAAGTAGATTAGCAATCCCTCCTAATCCCTGGCCTATAAGGATCCCTACTTACATCTTTACCACAATTGTCAATAAGAGGGTTTAATCAACCAAGCATAATCACTCCTAGAATGCGTATGGTCCCCCAACGCAAATATACCAAGCAGAACCATAGCATAATCTCATCGTGCAAGTAGTGATCACCCAATGCGGATGTACCAAGCATGATCACCCCTGAAATATGTATGGTCCCCCAACGCGGATATACCAAGCAAGACCATCCATGTACCACCGCTACATGGTGCAATTAGACTAACACACCATATTTCCTACCTCCACACCTATGATTTACAACATGAGTATATACATTATCCATTTAGGGTGCGTTTGGTACGTGGGACGGGACGGGACGGGACGGAACGGGACGAGGCGTTCCGTCCCGCGTTTGGTGCGCCAAAAATGGGTGGAACGGGCTGTTCCACGGGACAGATTTTGGGTGTTTTTGCGTCCCACCTGCCCCCCCTGGAACGGGTTTGTTCCACGTCTGTGGAACACAATGTTTTACCATTTTAAGACAAATATACCCCATGTCTTTTTCAAAAATTACACCTTCGTTCCGTCCCGTCCCGTCCCGTCTGCGTACCAAACGCACCCTTATGTATTTCCCATCTAGGTTCCAAAGCATTGTTTTGAATTATTACTACAAGAACCCACCACCTCGATCAACTCCTATTCTCAAGTATATGCAATTACTAAATACATCATTTTCGACTCTAGTCTTAATTAGATTACTTGGAACTACTAATTCACACTATGAGATCCAAGTACTATTTTGGTTTAACTTGAATTAGCATGATCAAAATAAATGTAACATTTAAATGAAAACACTTATAGAAAATAAGTGAAGATACTTTTTTTATAAATATAGATGTACCTGTATATAAAAGCCTTAACAGTGATGCATATATATTTCCAGGGATATAAGTAAGTTCCTTTGTATATGCATACATAGATATATGTATATGGTAAATAAAAAATACAATTTCATCCCTTCAATATTCTATACATACATATAAGTATTCGTTCAACTTTAGATATATGCAAAAAGGTCTTATAATGTTAAACAAAAGGAGACCTGAAATAGATATTTCATACATAGGACAATTACCATATATGTCTTTTCAACATTTATACCCAAAAGGTCATTAATTGAATACGCCTAAAATGTTTTGAACTTGTATAAAACAAGTCGTTAATTGAATACGCCTAAAATGTTTTGAACTTGTATAAAATCCTAATTGAATAAGAATTTCTAAGAATTTTGATAAATCATCTTAAAATCTTGATTGAATACAGATTGAATTCTAGAGTATCATTTAAAACCCTAATTAAAATCCTAAATTCATCAAAAACAAAAAAATCCAACACTTCTAAATTTTAATTGAATACACCCATTAAAGTTAAAACTATCGTGCAAATTTTCATGCAAAATGTCCCATGTCCCACATTGTCCAACCAATATCTAATTCCCACGTGTCAAGTAATCGCTCGCACTGACAGCCTTTTCTTTCGCATATATATATGCACACAGATTCCTCGACCTTAACCCGCAAGGTTCCAAATCTATCTCCACCTTTCTTTAATTAGGGTTTTGTTTTGGTCTTCGTCTTCTCACTCTGTGTTTCTAGGGTTTTGTTCGAATCGCAACTGCAATCTAGGGGTTTCGTTGCAATTATTCTCTCTATAAATAGTACGCATTGATAATTTTCATCTTTCAGTTCGTGTCCTAATAGAATCTGATTTCTTCTATTCCGCAACTGTGATCGTGAAGTTACGGTTTTCTGAATCGTTCCCTGTTCAATTCGTGAAAAGGGGTTTTTTGTTTGGGTTTGATTTGGGGAATTTGTGGAGTTTTGGGCAGTTCGACTGCGAAAACCATGCCTCAGAGGACGGTGAAGAGAGGTGCAGCGGCGGGAGCGAAGAGGACGACCAGAGTCACAAGGGGGACGAACAAGGCCCAGAACCAGGTCCAGCATGAGGCTCCTGACGAGTCGGCCAAGGCTGAAGTCGAGGATGCGGTGCCGATGATGGAAACTAAAGAGGATCTCAATGTTGAAGAGATTAAGGAGAAGCCAATTGCGGCGTATAATCCGATGGTTGTCGTGGAGAAATCAGTTGTTGATGAAAAAGCTTCCGTTGTTGATCAGCCAGGGCCTTCAGAGATGGAAGTCCAAGCGAAAGCAGAGCAGAATGGATTAAAAAGTAAGTTTTTTGTTTTCCGGATTATTGAATTTGGTTAGAACTTGATTGGATTAAGTAATTTGCTCTCGATTTTCCCGTGCTCTATGTTTTTGCATGATTTATGTATGTTTATAAAATGTGGTTTTGGATTGAGATTTTGTTTTCCGGATTGTTGAATTTGGTGAGAACTTGATTGGAACAAGCTTAATTTTTTGTTCAGAAAATGGTAGAGAATGAGTAAATCAACTAAGGGCAATGATTTAGAAAGATTCCAAAGGAAAATTTTGTTTGAATTTGAATATTTTAATTACACATTCGTAAATGTCTACACAGACATTGAGGAATTTATTTTTATGAATCTGCTAATGCTTGCTTTTCCATGTACTTAGATGGCTTTTATTAGAAGTAGCCAACTTGTTCTTTCAAGAGTAATTAATTCTTGGGTGGAGCTTAGAATTCAGTTTGGATATGTATCAAAAAGTTTGGTTTATGTATGGATCAAGGTTGACAGTGTAAGCAGTGTAAACATGGTCATACACTTTCCACTTTGTTTTTAGCTCGGCTGTCTAGTAAACAACGGTTTATGCGATGAGCATAGACTGGACGTTTAAGCCTTCTAAGTGTGGATTGTGACTGTTTTGGATCATTTTTGCTTTTAGACATTTTTAATCGATCATCAGAAGAAGAATTAGGCCAAAAATTAGGACACATTCTGGGAAAATAAAACTTCATATGGAAGCAATAAGCATAGAATGACACTTCAGGCATTGTAAACTAAATGTAGATCATGCTTCTTTTATGGGATCTGTTATGTGTTAATATAAACATGGTAATTTTCATACCGTGTTTATCTGAGATGGACAAGGACCTTATTAAATTATGAACTTTGCTTGATCATAATATAGAATTTTATCGCAGAACAAGATAAGGTTAGGGAGTCTATAGATGATTATGAAAAAGATGAATGATTAGAGCTAGAGGATAATGAAGCTGAGTATGAACCTGAAGAAGATGGTGGGGTTGATTATGATGAGAAGGAAATGGAACAAGGGGATGTCCCGGAGGTTGGGGATGAAGGAGATGAAGAACCTGAGGAGATTGTAGGTGAAGAAGAAGGTGACATGGCTGAGGAGGAGTTGGAAGATGTTCACGAAGAACTCGAGGGTGAAGAGGGTGAGGGGCATGAGCATGCAGAGATGGTTGATGAGGAAGAGGAGCACCATGAACTTGTAAAGGAGAGACGGAAGTGCAAGGAGTTTGAAGTATTTGTTGTTGGTCTGGACAAGGATGCAAGTGAGGCTGATCTTAGGAAAGCTTTTGCTGGTGTTGGTGAAGTTACTGAGGTCAGGGTGATGATGAACCCTCAGACTAAGAAGAACAAGGGATTTGCATTCTTGCGTTTTGCAACTGTGGAACAAGCAAGATGAGCAGTTACAGAGCTTAAACATCCAGTGGTAATTTTCGATCCTTTCGTAGTTTGAGTGGAAACGGGTTTCTTCGCATTTTGAAATTCTTTGAATGATTGCAATTCCAGATTAATGGAAAACAGTGTGGTGTTACTCCCAAGTCAAGACAGTGATACTCTTTTTCTGGGTAACATATGCAGACATGGACAAAGAATGCTGTAAGTATATTGCCTTGCATCATTTCAAAATTCTCTGACTTATGAGGAGTTGCTTAAAAGTTTCTAACTTCTTTTGATGGCTGTGGTTCCAGTTGAGAGAGAAGTTGAAACATTATGGAGTAGATAGTGTTGAGGATTTGACAGTGGTTGAAGATACTAACAATGAGGGAATGAATCGGGGCTTTGCTTTTTTGGAATTTTCACCTTGTTCAGATGCCATGGATGCTTTTAAGCGACTTCAGAAAATAGATATTGTGTTTGGAGTTGATAGGCCTGCAAAAGTTTCTTTTGCAGATTCCTTCATTGATCCTGGTGATGAAATCATGGCACAGGTAACTTAAATTTTCTGCAGTATTATACGAACGATAGGATTTCTGGATGGTTTATCTTTCTCATAATCATTTCTTTTGTGTTGGTTTATGAACTCATAACATCTATTTTTTCCATGAGTTTATGTAGTCCTGGATAAATTGTCTGTGTGATCAATTTTTATGTTATGGGAGATGATAGAGTTACAATATGCCCATTGATATTTCTTGTACAAGTAATTTTTCTAGTTTTGTTCGACAAATTACCGTAGCCTCTATAAAACGTTAGATTAGATTCTTTGGAGTTGGTTTTTCAGGTAACATTATCTTATTTCTGTGTTACTTGTTTTCTAGCAATCTTGTTAATCTTATCCTCAATTGACAATAATAAAGTTAATCATGTATGGGAAAGCGGTTGTGAGTTTGTTTCTTTGATATAGTGTTTTAGAGGAGTATAGGTGATTGTTGGAGCTGCTGATCAAATATCTTGAGATGCAGGTGAAAACTGTGTTTGTGGATGGCCTACATGCTTCATGGGATGAGGATCATGTTCGAGATTTTGTTAAGGAATATGGGAATGTTGAAAAGATTGAGCTTGCGCGTAACATGCCCTCTGCTAAGAGGAAAGATTTTGGTTTTGTTACATTTGACACTGATGAGGCTGCAGTTACATGTGCTAAAAGCATTAACAATGCAGAGCTAGGTGAAGGAGATAGCAAGGTGTGTTGACTGATGACAGTTAATTCAATTAGACATTACTGATGGAAGCCTTTATGTATTGGCATTTGTTGGACATGAATTTATGGATAATTATGGTCATTCTTAGGCGAAAGTCAGGGCGAGGTTATCAAGACCACTTCAGAGGGGTAAAGGAAGACATGTTGGACGCGAAGATTATCGATCTTCAAGGGGGGTTGGACGAGTTGTTAGGGGTTCATGGGGTCACCCAGCATCGCGCGGGTTAAGGGGAGTTGGAAGTCGAATTCCACCAGCCAGTGTAAAGAGGCCTGTTGAGCTAAGAGATAGACGCCCTATGATGTCGTCTTATCCACCAAGAGGCAGGCCTTTGCCTCCTCCAGCTAGGTCCTATGACAGGAGACCACCTGGTATGCAATATTTTAATTTATAATGGCTAATTGTTTGTGTTGCAACTTTTATCACATGAATAATTATATATTTTCTATACATTTTTTAAACAGTTCCAGCTTACCCAAAGAGTAGCTTCAAGAGGGAATATAGTAGGCGCGAGGACCTTCCTCCTCCAAGGAGTAGAGCAGCCTCTGATTATGGATCAAGGGCTGTTCAAGAAAGACACCAATCGTACCTAGATGACTACACTCCGCGTGGTCCTGCCTACTCTGATCCACCGAGAAGTATCTCTCATACAGCAGGAAGGAGAGCTTATGTTGATGAAGGTTACGGACAGCGATATGAAAGGCATCCTCCCCCTCCTCCTCCAAGTTACCGTGAAGGGCGTGCACGTGAATATGACTATTTCTGGTTCAAAACGTCCCTACGCTGCACTGGTTAGTGTTGATGACGACATTTATGCAATTCACTTGGTCTTCTCTGCTAGGATATGAAATAGGCTTAAAGTCTTCTTCCACATGTTTTGTGTTCTAGGATGATGTTCCTCCCCATTATGCTGATGCGGCCATCCACCAATCCAGGGCACGGTTAGACTATGAGTACGGAAGCGGTTCATCTCAATATGGGGATGGCTATAGTGACAGGTTTGTTCTTTAAATTGTAACATTTTTAACTTTTTGTTATCACATGTGTGGATGCAACGTACCTTTGTTGTGTATGATAGACTTGGCAGATCTAGTATGGGATATGGAAGCAGCAGAACAAGTCAGGATTCTCATGGACCATACAGCAACAGCAGTCGTCAGGGCATAGACTATGGAGGAGGTGCTTTGCAATCTCCGGTTATCTGATAGCTATAGTGCTATTGTTGATATCATAGAATTAAAGGTCGAAGTTTTTAACTTTCTTTTTCAGGTTCTTATGGTGGCAATGGTGGTGGTGGAATGTACTCTTCAAGCTATGGCAGTGATGTATGCACCTAATCTGATTTGGTTCAAGGACAAGAATAGTTGTGTTTAGCTGTCTTATGTACCATTATTTCTTGATTCTCTATTGTAGGTTGGAGGTAGCTCTTACTCATCAATGTACTCTGGCCGTTGTGTGGGTGGAAGCAGTTATATGGGTTCAGGCGTTTCTGGCTCATACTACTGAGGTAATTCGGAATTTTTTATTTTTTTTATTTTTTATTTTTATGTTTTATAAAGTCTGATGTGTGCATAATTATGAAAGCGATGCACATGAGTCATTATTACTATTTTCCCGCTGGAGATATATTTTCTTCCGAAGGCACATCATCTCTTCTTTTGCTCTAAGAGTTCATTGGTGAAAACAGAGCAATATATGGTTACAAGTGAATTTGTCTAAGGAACAGATCTGACATGACGAAGAGGATGCTGTAGAATGTGGACTGTGTGAAGCTTTTCCATTTCGTTGCTTAGAGTTATGGACAGAGAGAGTTTCCCTAAGAACCTTATGTGTGTGAGAGGATCCTTCATTGCATACAATAAGGTTGTAGTGGTTCAAGCCTTCTTAGATTACCAGAGATCGGTTAAATGTGCCAGGCTGTAGTTATTTTGCTGCAAGGAAATTCAAGTTATTCAAAGATGAGACATTCAATTGCTTAGTTTATGACGTGCCTTCTACTTATCTTGTAGAAGAACTCCACCTGACTGAAAATTTGGAGTCCTGGTGCATCCTTCCTTTGTTCTATTGAATAGATAAGATTATAACGAGAGAATGAGGATTTTCTTAATGTGATTATAAGGTATTTTGGATATTTTTTATGCTGAGTCATTTGGAAAGGTTTGAATAATAAAAGCATTTTGGCCATTTAGATCACTTAATCATTTCAGTTCCATATCATTCAAAAAACCTCAGTGGGTAACTCGGAACTGAAGGCTATAAGGAAAGATTTAGCTTGCTTGGAATTGTTCGAGATTGGGGTCCAAGGAGCTTGACCTGGAATCTCTGGCCTGGTGTGTAAGTTGTAGTTACCATGTGAGTTAAACTTGCAACGTCGACATATTTGTTGATATTTAAGGAAACATATTGGGAAATTAGGAAGGAGGATGAGTGGGAAGACAGGTTCATATTCTTTTTCACTTCCCAAGGAGTATTTGCTTTAGTGGTAAAATAATTTTACATCGGTTGCTAGTATCTCTGTTAATAGTATCATTCTTTAGTTCAGCTGGTAAGTATTCCATTTTGTAGAAGCACCCTATTATGTTTTTTTTTTTTTTGGGGGGGGGGGGGGGGGGGGGGGGGATCACTTGGGCATGTCTAAGGGAGTCTAAAGTTTTGGGTAAAAACTCCGTTACAAGCAGTTCTTGCGGATTAAAAGCTACTGAATCTTTGAGGTAACTAACTAGTACCTGATTCCTTCTTGTCCTTGTATTGCTCATAGGGCTTATTTAAGGACTTGACATGTTAGTTCTTTTCAAATCACTCTCGATCAAGTCGTTTTGATTGCTCAAGTGTATCCAAGGACTAGTTGCTGGTTGGAAGCTGTTTCAATTGAAAGGTTTCGTTTTGATATGCTTTCAATATAGATGCCAGTGTTCTGTTGGGATTGGGATGCAACTGAATGCTGGATTGGATTTCAGGTGCATATATATATACTTTTCGGCATATATACTTAGAATTGTTTCTTTCACTTGTGAAATACGACAACCTTATTGTTTGTTTGGTGAAGTCTGGACAGAGTCCTCGTTTTTAATTGGCAATGTATTGTACTTGGTATAAAATTTGCAGGACACAATAAAAGTTTGAGTTCAACTCTCTCGGAAGAATGGTTGGATGTGTTTTTTTTTCTTCAAACGAGTATTAAGTATTCTAGTTATATGCATCGGCTGTGAAAACCATAAATTCGTTTCAAATGAAATACAAACAATTAAACTGAATTGGAAGAATAAAAACTATAGATAATGACAGGAAACAATTCGGAACTCAGTTGAAACCATTTACTCTAAAGCCGAATGCCCATGCTATTTTTCCATCGGCCGGAAGAAGAATCGTGTAAATCATTTTTCCTGAGCCAAAACCCTATGTCGCATCCGTCGGAGTATCCGTTCAGGAAAGGACTAGTGCAGGAAAGGATTTTCTTGCCAACTTACACAGCAGGCAAGAGTATCCGTTGGATTCTTAGAAAAGGACTAGTGCAGGTCCTCCCGGTGAAACGTACCGTCTCTTGGAACGATAAACAGGCATACTTGAACGGATTGTGCACGAGTCTTGTCCAGACCGCAGTTACATCATTCCGGTGTTTGAGAATTTGGGGCACGAAATTTGAAAGGAGGTTGACCTGGAATCTCTTGCCTGCTGTGTAAGTTGGCAAGAAAATCCAGTTCTATAGTTGTTCGTCCTTGCTAGGTGGATTTGTTGCCTATTAAATGCGTAGATAAACGAAGAACACCCAGAAATAGATCCAATAAATTTAAGCATAACAGTTATGTCGGAATTATGCATCAAGGAAAATTTGCAATTAAGGGCCCTCCTCAGGCCGAACAACATTTTTTCACGTAAGCGTGTTCGCTAATCTATCGTGCATTCTGCAGTCCTCGTTTGAGCCTTTTCGATATCCTTCTTGGATCTCATTTTGTTCTTGAAACTAATGAGTGCTAAGCAATTTAGTTAGCGCATGTGAACCGGAAAAATCAAACGCAAACCACCAAATGATAGTCCAAGCGAGAACAGAAAGCTGATGATTTTCTGTCGGTCTTACATCGCTTCCATTGTTTCTTTTGCATCATCCAATAAATGGACAAAGAGAGAAAGCAGCTGACACCGTACAAGTGATTGATATTTGATAGCCTAAACGTGGAGATTGATACCAACACTGTGATACTGATACTGATACTGATACTGATACTGATACTCTACCAAGCAAACAACAATGCAGACAGTCACACATATATAAGCATCTTATGTTACCATACCAAGTAGGTAAGAACGCTACTCAGTTTTCCAGATCCACTCCGGCGCACCATAAGCAGCAAGTCTGTCAATCATACAATGCATGTGAGAAAACATTTTTCCGTCAAAAAACTCACCCTTGTCCGACTTAAAAGCTTTATTTGAAAAGCTGCATCAAACACCAAAACAAACCCGAATACACACAACAACAATAATCTTCTTCCAAATCCATTCTCGAAAAAGTAAGAATTGTTACCATTTACTGCAAAACAAGAAAGATATGGCTAAAGTTGCTACGCAATCAACCGAAAGAGAGCGAGTGAGAACAATTAATCTACATAGTTTCCACTACACGAGATTACAAGCTACAAAGATAGAGCTACAATCGTCTCAAAGGACTCGAACCAAGCTAACGTGATCAAGTTCCACATTCCCTCAACACTTTAAGAACAAAAGAAAATTGTAAAAAGTGGCTCGAAAGCGAGAGTTAAACACGAACTTACGACTAATTAAACTCACATAACTTAGCGCCTCTGAGATCCAAAAGCACCCGCAGCTATCATCCAATGCAACCCCACCCACCATCTAAGCCTCAGGGGATGGCATTCTCTTGGCCGCCTTCTTCTTCTTCTCCGAAACCGCCTTCGCAAAAGCCTCCACAATTCTTTGCTGGGACTCCAAAATCATCTCCGTCCGCTTCATCTCCATGTCCATCCGCATCGTCTCAATCTCCCTCGCCATCTCCATCTTCATCTGCTCCATTCTCACAAACCCATCTCCCAAAAGCTTAATCGCCGACACCATCTCCGCCACGGGGTCTCTCTCCCTCTCCCTCCCATCTCTCTCTCTCTTCCCCAATCCTGGCCTCCCCGAATTCCCACTCTCTCTCATCACCTTTGCGCTACCATAACCCGACCCAGGATTCGACCCAGGATTCGAATTCATCCCGAATTTCTGATCCATCTTTGGATAAACCTTGGTCCCAGGCTGAGCTATGCTAACCCCAGTTGGAATCCTAATCCTAAACCCACTTCCGGGACCGCCACCGCCACCACTTCCTCCACTTCCACCCCCAACCCCAGCTCCATTCCTATACAACTTACTCATACTCTTCATATTCGACCCGTATCTCAGCTCCTCGTAGAGCTCCTGATCCGGATCCTCCTCCTCTTCGTTCTCCTCGTTGTCTTCCTCTTCGCCGGGACTTTCCGAGTTTTCCCTCTTCCCAGCTGCCGGCCCCTTCTCCATGGCGTCCATCCGCTTGAAGTGGACCCACGACGACGTGAATCTGGACAACGGCATCGACCTGGCTCGCTGGATCTCAGTCCGGTACCGCTTCCGGAGCTTCTCCATCTTGTGACGGCACTGGACGGCAGTCTTCGCCGGAGAAGCAGCCGGGCATATCCGAGCGATGGCGTCGGCCACGTCTTGCCAGTGGGTGGCCTTGAGGTTTCCGCGGCGGAGGGAGTACCACTTTTCGCGGTAGGAGTCGATGAGGGCGACGGTCTCATCGTGGGACCAGCAGGGAGGAGGGAGGCGGCGGGAGGAAGGCGGGGTTGGGTTCGGCTGGGTTTGCTGAGATTGGGATAGCGGTGGGGCCGGGAGAGCGAGAGGCACGCCCTGCGGTGGTTCCGATTGGAGAGGGATGATGGAGTCGTCTTGGGGGGAGGACGGAGGAGAAGCCATGTTGGGTTGCAGGGTATGCGGTGGAGGATGGGTTTTCTAGGGAGGGAGGAGGGGAAGGAGGAAAAGGGAAGGGGGAGGAGGAGGAGGAGAAAGTGGTGTATGATAGCATGATTGTGGTTGTGGGTAGGGTGTTAAAGAGGGTGGGTAGGGGGTGGGTGGAGGGGTGTGCGGCTGATTTTGAGATCTAAAGGTGGGCGTGTGAGATGAGCGGTGGATGAGGCCACCGCTTAGGTGTGGGGTGAGGTGGCTAACGTGCGCCGGGGGGGGCTAGGGTGGGGGTTGGGTTAAGTTAACCTACGCGCACCACCCAATAGAGAGAGGGGGGAGGTGGGGGCAGGTCCACCTCCTGTCTGTCTGACTTTGCCCATTATCTTGTCCATTCTTCGATCATCGTCATCATTTGATATTTGTAAATGGGAAAATAGTGGTGGTGTTTGTGTGACGGTGGGTGGGGTGGGGGAGCTGGGTGGGTGGACATTTTTGTATAGTGGGCTTTTGGGTTGCGGCCTTTGTGGGTTTTTGGGGCGGTGGGGGAGCGTGAGGGGGAGGGAGGTGGGGGGGGACAAGAGGTGGTGGTAAATAGCATTAGGATTAGGGCATGAGAGGGGGAAGACTAATGGGGGATGTGAGAGAGCATTTTGTGGGGACTTTGGTTGGTGCTTCAACAAATTGGAACGGAAGGGGACTTGTTTAATAACACATGTGGTCCAAAAATAAAGGGGGCAAACTTGTGATTAATCATGAAAATAGAATCACATTGAAAGTGGAAATACTATTGTTGCCCCAAAAAAGTGAAATTACTATTGACATCCAACAATTTAATCACTTTTAGAAAAACACCTCTCACCATTTAATATTACAGTGCAGTGGTCTTACTCTTCACTTGTAAGTGAGAGATCTTAGGTTTGATTCCTAACAAATGTGAATTTGAACCATATTATCATCAGTGGCGGATCCAGGAAATAATATTAGGGGAATCAGTAAGAATAGTGCGCGCAACGCGCAATTTTTTTTTTTAACAAAAACAACATGCATATTGTCATTTCATCGAGTCTTGGAATGCCTGAATTCATTTGGAAAGGCATGCTGCACACCTATTAATGCCTCATTAACATGGTCCAAGGCTGCTCCCATATGAATACTTAACAAAGAAACACACTTATCTTGAACACACTGACAATGTTTGATATCATTGCATCCCATTAATATGTTTGTTCAAGAATGATGATGCTTTGTTATTCTCTGA